CAGCTTCATCTCCTGGAATACATTTGCCTTGTAAAAAGCTAGCCTGCCAGGAGTTTCTCACTGAAGGCAATTTTGTTATTAGGCGAAAAAAAGTCTCTGTGCCCAACCCCCCCAACCAACCCTCCTCCAACTCCCTGACGTGAGTCCGTGTCATTAGTTACTCGCTTTGGCAGTTTTATTATGGAAATGACATATTGAAATACAAATTGGGATGTGTACAGTATAATTACTAATACTGCATATTCATTTCCTCCCTTTGTTACTGTTGAGTCCCCGTAAAGCCCTCTTACCAGCCACATCCCGATCCTGTGTGCAGTTGGTTCTCCCCTCTTTTCTTCTGAGGGCCAGGCTGAGAGGGGAAGCCAGCCAGAGGAAGTACCTGCCTTCCCTGAGAAGGGCTATTTTTGTGACAATGCTGAGCTGACGCGGCAGCTGGGGCCTCCGACGTCCAAGGGCTTCCCAGCTCTTCCCAGACAAACAGACCGGGCCAGACACGGGAAGTTCCAGCCAGGGGACCTTTCTAAAAAATTAAATGCAACGAAACAAACATTTTCAGGGATACAGGGGTCGGCTGTCGTGGCTGCACTCTGACACCTTCCAGAACACCTTTCCTCCCTTCCCTCAGAGCTTCTCAAGAGAAGGAGGTCAAGTAAGTTGGTTAAACTGAGCACCTTGTAGCCTGTCTCATCTCCCTCGTGGCCTTGGGGTCTGCCCTTCCCCAGGGGAGCAGTGTGCTGTGAAGACACCTCACTGTGACACACACACTCTTCCCTCTGTCACTTAGCAGATGCACCATCTATGAGTGCTAAGTCTCTCCAGTCGTTCTCCGACTCTTTGTCACCCCATGGACCGTAGCCCACCAGGATCCTCTGTTCATGGGATTCTCCAGACAAGAATACTGGAGTGGGTTGCCATGACCTTCTCCAGGGGATCTTCTGGACCCAGGGATGGGTCTTGTGTCTCTTATGTCTCCTGTATTGGCAGATGGGTTCTTCATCACCAGCAGCACTTGGGAAGCCCACTCTGGGCAAATTTGCTTAATCCATCCGTACCTCAGTGTCTCCATCTGTAAAGTGGGGCAACACACAGTGTCCATCTCACAGAGGTGTTATGAGGATGAAATGCCTTAATACAGATAAAGCATATAGAACAGAACTATTGTACTGTAGATTTCTTGCAGAGATGGCCTCAATTAAGCCCTTGGCTATGTGACTTTGAGAAGTCACAGTGGGCCCGTTCTGGGCCCCAAGAGGTCTTACCCACTTCTCTTTTGTCAGAGCCCTGCTTCTGCCATGAGAACAAGCTCAGGCCAACCTGCTGGATGTTAAGAGACTCAGAGCTGATTTCACCTTCTCTTCCCAGCTGAGGCCCCAGGCATGGGAGAAAGCCCTGCCATGATCAGCCCACAAATGACCCATGACTGTCCGCAGGAGCATGAGTGCAGCCACCTTAGACCAGAAGAATCACATAGACTTGAGTGCCATTTTCCTGTTTTTTATTTTAAGCCACTGAAGTTGGAGGTGGTGTGTTATGCAGCCATAGCTAACTAATATCCATAGAAAGCTATTGGTGTACTTTCTCCCTCCTGTCATACTCCATGTCTATATATCTTGATCTTTTTCCCATCTAGACTAAAGTTCCCGGGGCAGAGAAATTACAAGTTCTTAGGGTAAGAGCATAGACCCTGGCATTGGACAGAGTTCAAATCCCAGGTCTGGCATCGTCAGAGATAGTACCCGTGGCAAGTAAATTTTGAGCTATTACATGGGAATAATAGCATCTATCATATGAGGTTCTAATAGGGGTTGAATCAAGCAGTAGATGGGAAAGACACCGGCACCTGGACTCTCCTCTTTCCACAGGAAGCTCAATGTCTTGCACATAAAACAACATTCAATACATGATGATCAAAGTCATAATTTTCTTGACAAGGTTGAGCTTACCTGTTAAGCTCAGTTACCTGATGCTCAAAGAGAAGGCACAGGTCATAGCCCCACTTGAAGGCATAACAGGAGTCTTCTCCCATTAGCCAATGATAATAATCCAAATACCAATAATAACAGAAATACATGGCATTTGCTTACAGCTTACAAAGCACTTTCACATATATTACATTGTTGAATTTCTCACTCTGCAGAGCCCCTGAGGATCAGCATTGTCCCCATTGTACAGCCTCAAAGAATAACACTGGAGTCAGTACTTTGCCCTTTGATACACAGCCCAGAAGTGGCAGGACTGGGACTCCCAGGGCCCACACCGCCCCTAGTAAACCAGTTTATTGCAGCACTAAGGGCCTATGAAGTTTCCCGCTAATAGGATATTAACCTCTGCTTTCTTGTTTACTGAATGCAGATAACTTGAAATGTTCCTCATTTCCTGAAAACACAACTCAAACCTCACTTTGGCTCAGCACCAAGGTTTTGGGTTTTTTAGTTGGGGAACCTTTTTTCTAAGGCAAAGAACCTCTCATTGCCCTCATCACTCACTGCCAGGAAATAAAAGGACCCACAGCAGTTCTCAAGAACCATCCAAGCCAAACTCTGCAGCTGACATGTGGGTGGCCAGCCGATTGCACTGAGGGCCCTTCTTCCATCATCACTGGAGCATCCTCTCCAGTCACCACTGGACAATGTGTTCCGGCAGCTGAAACCTTCAAGGATTAGAGTATTTCTTGAATAAAGATCATCACCTCATTTCTAGAAGGACAGTAGGAAAGACAGGGCTACCTCCTGGCGGTATCAGTCAGCGCATGGACAGAGCCTTCCCTCCCCACAGGCAGATTTCTGTCCTCAGTCAGATCAGAGTTTGGGAGGTGGGCACGGGGGATATGAAATGCCAGTGAAACTGTAAGATCAGTTTCTGCCTTCCAGGAGCTCGAAATGCAAATGGGTCCTGGGAAATGCCCTTCTGGGGAAGCCAACTCCAGGGAATTTGTCAAAAGTTAAAAAGTTATTTGGACAAAGATATTGATAGCAGAGTGATTCAGTGTTAAAAGCCTAGAAATTGCCCAAATACCCAACAAAAGAGAATTGGTTAAGCAAACTTCGTGTTATCAAATTGATGAAATATTGCTTTACCATTAATAAGGATGATGATGAAGTTTAAGTAGATCCATGGAAAAGTACATGCAAAATAGTGCTTGTAAAACAAAAAATGCAAAACAGTTTCTGAGCACTCAGACTTGTGTAAAATCATATATGCTCAGCGACAATGACTGCAGGAAGACATCATAAAATAAAAATAGCAGTTGTTTTAAGGTAAATGGGCATGATGGTAATTGCTTGGTCATGTAAGTCAAATATGCAGTGAGGAGTCTAGAAACTAGCAAGAGAAACACACGTGTTATTTGACTTTTAGAACACTGTGTAAAGCACAAATTGTGAAAATTAGAATTAAAAAACACATAGCAGTGGGGGAATTATTGTGGATTTGGGTGGCTTAATGATGGATCCCCAGTGTGTTGGTGTTCCCAACACACAGACCCTCAGAAATTCAAAGCCACACCATACAGCAATACCTAAAATGGGATTTCAGTTACAAGGCCAATGTGCTGGGGAGAGTTTTGGAGTTCAGGGAGGTCTATTCAGTGTCCTTCAAATCACATCAATAACTTTGCTTCTCATCCATCACTTGGAGGATCAGCCTCAACTGCATTCGAGTTTTTTTGTTCTGTTTTTTAATATAAATAGCAAGCACCGCATAAGGATAAGAAAGAACAAAGATGAGCAGTGAAAAGGTGAGCTGTGCATCCAATCTGATTCAAAGAAGCTAGACTTTACTATCAGAATGCTCAATGCAGGATGTTTCTGGGGGTCAAAGGGAGGTCAGTGCATATATTCCCTTTAAATACCTTCTCTAACCCACTGGTTAGTGCCCCAAATTGCAGTTTGGGACTCAACTCATCTGTTCTCAAACTTAGTGTGAGGTGAACTTCAGATGCTTGATAAATATACAGATTCCAGGGCCCCACCTTCCTGATTCAGACTACAGACTTCAGTATTTGTCAACAAGCCTGTCAAGTGATGCTAATACATGTGGTCCTAGGGCTACACTTCAAAAAGCATGGAGCTAAAAGACTTTATATTAAAATGCAAATCCTAACCCTGACTTACCACCCCACTTGCCTCCTTGAAGCCATATGGGTCATTTTCACATTTTAATGAGGAGGGAGAAGGAAGACCCCAAGGGCATAGGACCCTGACAAAGAGGGGGTAGGTCTCCCACCCCCAGGGTTTAGAGGTGGAGAGCAGGAGGCCAAGGCCCTTGCATCCAACTTTCCTGATGCCATCTCTGCCACCACTGGCCAATGGTGTATGACGTCTACCATCTTGTTGTGAATGGATTGGGGTGTGTGAGTTTTGGAGCTCAGGCTGGGACAGGCACAAGAATGGAATCGGGATTGTGGTTGTTGCCTCTTGGATCTTCTAACTTTCTCAAGGTGCTCACAGATAGAGACTGACTTAAATAATAATATTGAAATAATTTAAAAAATACCTCAAGAGAGTAATAAAGTGTTGCGGGAACTGGGGCAGAGAAGGGCGTGACTAATAACTCTGTGTGGGGGCGGGGGTGGGACTCATAGATGATTAGTTCATGTCCTATTAGTTAAGGGTCAGGCATTGTATAAGACCATAATTTCATACTCACAACCACCCTGCAGAAGGAAGTATTGTTTTATGTGGATGAAGGTATGTCTCAGGAAGATCGGCTGTATATACAGCATCGTACAGTGGTGATTTGGATGCAAGTCTGTTCAACCCTGAAATGTGAGGTGTGATCTCCCCCTAGGATTCATTTGGCTATGATCTTGGGTGAGTCATTTCCTCTCAGGTTCCTCATCATGACAACAGGGTCGGGTTCCCTGTGTGACCCCGAGGTCCTCCCAGCTCAGAGCCCCAAGAGGAGCTTACCAAGACGTCAAGTGGAAAACCATTGGACCTGAAGGGAAAGGAAGATCTTGCTCTCCAAGAGGGATCGTTGCCTTCCAAAGAGGAGTCATCATGAGACGGGATGCCGGCGCTACCTCCACCCCCTGCCAGACTTTAGGGCAATCGCTCTTAGACCTGAGTGAGAGGTGAGTATGGATGAGCTCCAAAGCCAGGAATATTTCATCAAGTTGCAGCAAAACTCCCAAGGAAACAGGATGAGATTATTTTTTTCTGGTTTCATATTTTGATCCTAATCTCTCATCTCTGTTCGAAAGTTGACTGATCCTCAGTGCAGTAGAGGACAGAGGAAGTCTTCTTTGTTAGTAGTTTAAAAAAAAACAAAAACATTTTTGGCCGCTGGTGGCTTTAGCAGCCTGCAGTGCTACACAATAAGTGGGCTAGGAGGAAGGCAGTAAGGGGGGGATCCTCTCTGGGAAGGACCACCCATCAGGCTTAGCCTCCCTGAGATCAAAGGCAAACAGAAGGAAAAATCAGCTGTGGGTGGCTTCAAACCTCTGACTTGAAGCTGTTAGGAAAAGAAGAGATCCCCACCTCAACCCCACCCCTACCGCAACTGCTCCCTCCCCTCCCACCAAACCTCCTAGGTCACCAGAAATGCTCTTTAACCCACACCCGTTCCTGCCCCGAGCAAGGGGCCTGCACATGGGCCCCCAAAGTGCCTACCACAGGCTCAGAGAAGAGGACATGGAGACTGGTCCTCCCCTTCCTGGGGCAGCAGCCTTGGCCAAAGTCTGGTCACAAAGGGCACCAGGGCAGCTCCAGGAACAGCCCTGGGCGTCATCACTTCAGCTGCCTCACCCAGCAGCTGCTCAGGGATGTGAGCCCCACCCCTTGGTCCAGATTATTTCCCTTTCTCTGTGGACAAACAGCCGCTTGCAGGGACCCCATATGATGCTTTGACACCCAGAACCTTGACACCAAACATTTCCCAGCTGTGGAAACAGGCAGAGCAGCTGTGGCTGATCAAACCATGGGGAGCAAAGCAAAAGACACCTCACATTTGGACCATTCCCCACACAGCTGGAGAGTAGCTTTAGCTTCTTCTACTAGTAACAGTAGCAAAGGCTTGCTACATACTTTTATATGGGTGATCTTATTTATGCCTCAAGGGCTTCCCAGTGGTGAAGAATCTGCCTGCCAATGCAGGAGACACGGATTGGATTCCTGGGTCGGGAAGATCCCTTGGAGGAGGAAATGGCAACCCGCTCCAGTATTCTTGCCTGGAAAATTCCATGGACAGAGGAGCTTGGTGGACTATAGACCACGTGGTCGCAAAGAGTCGAACATGACTAAGTACGCACACACACACATATTTATGTCCCAAGTAGCCAGGTGAAGCTATTACTGGTTATTTATTTATTTTGCAAATGAACGAATAGAGGCTTAGAAATATTAAGAGGTAGAGACAAAACAGTCTGGTTCCAGAGCCTAAGCTCTCAACCACTATACCATGGGGAACTCTGGATTCCTCTCAGAGTTGGAAAAAATCCATCTTGTCTTCCATTCCATGATAACCAGTTAATGGGAAGTTTTTAAAGGCACCTCTCCCTCCTGAGAAAAGAGGGAGCTCTTATTTCAGACGTCGAAGGGCACTTGTTCGTTGGGAGGGGGAGTGCCCTGGGTAGGGAGTGGGGAGGGTGCGTGCTCAGGACACCTGCGATCAGCCACCTTGGCTTGCCAGCTGCTGCAGGCCCCTCAGCCTCTGACCCCAGGCAGAGCCTAGGCCCTGGGGCCCTTTCCCCCTGCACCTGACTCTCCTCCAACATATTCTACAGCTAAGTTGAGCTAGTGGGCTCTTGGCTGCCAAAGTCACCTGTTCCTCCTTTGAGTCACATTTTTACAAAGGCCTTTCAGAAGTAAAATGGGAAGTGTTGGGGTTTTGTGACACCACAGGAAGTCTGAGGGACAGATCTCTATCTTTTCCTCAAATCAAACCTGGGAGGTTGTCACCTTGCCTTGCGGTCCTCACATTCAAGGGCAGAAAAAATCTTGCAGGGGTGGGGGTGAGTAAGTGGGGTGTGGCCATGATATGGAAACAATCTAAGCACTGTCAACAGATGAATGGATAAAGAAAATATGGTGGGTAGTATGTATACATATACATACACACACTATGTTTATGTATAAATATATACACACATATACATATATACACAATGGAATAGGGGGGACTTTCCTGGGGGTACAGTGGATAAGAATCTGCCTGCCAATGCAGGGGACACAGGTCTGATCCCTGATCTGGGAAGATTCCACATGCTGTGGAGCAGCAAAGCCCTTGTGTCACATTTACTGAGCCCATGTACTATAGCTACGGAAGCCTGTATATCTAGAGCCTGTGCTCTGCAACAAGAGAAACAACAAAAAATGAGAAGATGCCCATCCACGGCAGTGAAGAGTAGCCCCCACTCGCTGCAACTAGAGAGTCTGTGTGCAGCAATAAGGGCAGAGAGCAACCAAAATAAATAAATAAAAAGGAAATCCTGCCTCTTCTGACAGCATGGATGAACCTGGAGGACATTATGCTAAGTGAAATAAGCCAGACATAGAAAGACAAATGCTGCATGATCTCACTCATACACGGAATCTAAAAAATAGTCAAACATAGTAACAGAGAGTAGAATGACAGTTACCAGAAGCTGGGTGATGGGAGAGATGAGGGAGATTTTGGTCAAAGGGTCCATCTTTCAGTTGTAAGATGAATAACTTCTGGACACCTAAAGTGCAGTGAATGCGGTTGCTTGAAATTTGTGTTGTGTACTTGAAATTTGCTGAGAGTAGACCTTAAGTGTTCACCCACACACACACATGCATACAAAGATGCATTAATGTGTTAATGCATTATTAATGTTAAGATGTGTTAATTAGCTTGATTGTTGTAATCATTTCACCGTGTCCATATATATCAAAACATAATTTTGTACACTTTATACAATTTATAGTTGTCGATCAGACCTCAGTAAAACAGAAAGGAAAAGAAAAAGTGGCGTGTGGCATCTGCCTCTTGCAGATACCTGAAAACCTAACAGAAGAGATCAGGAAGTTGGACTACTGAGGGAAGAAAGAGTGTGGTGGGTGTGTCTTAAGGGGGCAGTGTCAGCTTAACATAAGTAAGACTGCTTTTTAGTTATTGTTATTATTACTCTCACAGCTGCTGTTTACTGAAGACAGCGAGGGTGTTGAGCTTTATGCTAAGGACTCATATCTACGCTGCCTTAAGTAAGCTTCCTAACAGGCTGGGAAGTAGATGCCTGCAATTAATTAGTGTCCTTACAGCGGGCATGAGGAGTTAAGCTCAGTGAAGTTCAGTAACTGGTTGAATGTGGCTGAGTTAGCAAGTGGGGAAGGTCCCTACCCACACCTGGCTCCACGTCCACACTTTTAACCATTAAGACCCATCCTCTCCCCCACCCCCTAGAGGTGCGCTCCCCATTCTCAGAGGTATTCCAGAGATGCTGTAAATAACCTGCCTGATCTCAGGAATCACCCTAGATGTTCCCTCATACCCAGCATCCCAGGCCTTACCGCAGAACCGCAGTTGAACCTCCAGGGAGGGCCGCAGTTCGTTTTCAGCAGACACTAGGCAAGCACTGAGGAAGCTGGACCAGATGCATCTCAGGGCTTCCAACTCCTGTGTGGACTGAGATTTTATGATTCTATTTTTAGGCAAGTCTTTCCTGAATCAAAGTGTCAGACTTTCTGGCACCTTCTAATGGCTCTAGGGCACCTGAGCTGTCTTCAGAGCCGCCCTGATGCCCCAGAGATACGAGAAACAGGGCTGGGAGGAACCCTGGGAGCCAGCAGAAAGCAGAGGGAAGCCAGATTTGCCAAGTGGGAGGCAGGTGGGGGAGGTGAGGGAGAGACATCCTTTCATTTCCAGCTCCAAGGGGGATTCTTGATTCTTTCCACCCTGAGGCCAACAGTTAGGAGCCTGTTCTCCCTGTAACGGCTCCCTTGCAGACAAGTTATGCCTTATCTGAAAGTGTGGAGAGAGGGAGAGAGTTTTCCTTGGACCATTTTCCCAACTACTTTGGTGGGATGGAAGATGGCTTTGGGGAGATGAGTAGAAGGAACAATGTTAGAGAAGTCCTGTTTCTAGGAGTCTCTGCGTGACCAAAATGATGGATGGGGATGCTTGCCGAGCCTCCCCATAAGGCAGCCTCTCTGTTAACCCTCATGAGAATCTTAGGAAGTAAGTGCTATGACTGCTTGCATTTTATGGACCAGTTAACAAGCTTGGAGAGTGACATTACTTGTCCCCAGCCCCACAATAACTGACAGAGCCTTCAGATCTCACTGATGGGGGTACCACAATTTACTGTTGGCTCAGACAGTAAAGAATCTGCCTGCAATGCAGGAGACCCAGGTTTGATCCCTGAGTGGGAAAGATTCCCGGGAGAAGGCAATGGATACCCACTCCAGTGTTCTGGCCTGGAGAAGTCCTTGGACAGAGGAGCCTGCTGGGCTACAATCCATGGGGTCACAAAGAGTCGGACACAACTGAGCGACTAACACAACAACCGCGCCACATGCTGCCTCTCAAGCCCCCAGAGAACTTCAGTGTTTCTTAACCTGCTTTTGGATCACTGACTTTGGAAGGTGTGCCAAAAAGCTATTATTTTGTCATCACAGCTAATGATCAGTAATATTTGCCATGGCCCGAGTACTCTTCTAGGTGCTTTGCTTGTAATGATTCATTTCATCCTAGCAACAATTCTATAGGGTATACCCATTTAACGGATGAGAAAACAGAGCCTCAGAGAGGTTGAGTAACTGTGTCAATGCTTGTAAACTGCAAGAGCCAGACTTCAAATTCAGTGAGTTTGACCCCGAAGTCTACATCATTAACTATTATTCTATTCTGCCTTACTCCAGAGAAGCATGCACCCTTCCCCGTTCAATACACATAAAACTGTGTACTTAATTTTAGGGAATATAAGATAAGGCTCTTCTGAAATCCTCTTTTGGGGACCAATTCTAGGTTAACAATGACTATGGATGAATTAAAAAAAAAAATCAAAGCTCAAAACAAAGATGCGCATTTACCCATCCAGGAAGACCACATGCTAGAGCAGGGAAGCACAGGCCTGGTGTCGTCGTCCAGGCTGCCCTGCAGCTCTCTTTCCCCTTCACCAATCCCAGATCCTGGCATCTACCCCAAGGCTGATGAAAAGGTCAGCTCTAACCACGCCTTCTTCTGAGAGCCCATGCTATTGGGCAACTCCATCTCACACCTGTCTCCTTGTCCTGAAACTACTGGGCCTACATTTGCCTTCCTGGGAGGGTAAGAGCCAGTGGTCAAGTCCAGGGGGGAGGGGCAAGTAAGGAAGTGCTACAACTAGATCACAGGTGTCTTAAATCTTAGTTTACAGCAGAATCAACTGTTCAAAAGCAGATTCCTGGCCTCTGCCCAAGATTCTGATTGAGTCCACCAGAGATGTTTTTATTAAAGGCCTTGAGTATTTCTGATGAGAGGGCCCAGTGACCAAGACTCCGATCAAGGTTGGAGTCCACATTGTCCCTGTTGTGGGAAGCTGTAGTTGAGAGAAGGACTCTCAGTTAGCTCTACTCACGCTTGGGGCAGGCTGGGAGCTCCTGGGTTTGTGCACTGGGCAGTGAAGGAAGGAAGAGGCAGTCCGGGATCGTCTTCCTGGTGCTGCCTCCCTGACTCCCCAGTGGACTGCCCGACATCGGTCACTCGCCTGTCCTCCCTCCCCACTTGTTTCCAGTCGCTGGACTTCACCAGGTCTCCTCCCAGGTCTCTGCTCTGAAAGTTACTGAGGGATACAAGGCTGAACTTGATAGGACGAGACATAGTTCCTGGCCTCAAGGGACCAGAGTCTAGTTGAGAAGGTGAATAAGTCAAGCGAGAAATGTCAGTGAGCCTTGGGGCATTTGAAATCAAGGGATTCTGGGAGCCAGAGCCCAACCCAGGGCCAAGACGACTGAGTGTTGGAGAAGGGAGGTGATTCCCAGTGAGAGGCTGCAGTGAACGCTGGTTGAGGGTGTAGAGGTAAACGTCAGGGGACCTGGGAAGTAGGGTAACTGACTCATGTTTTCTGGGGAGAGAGGCAGTTCCCAGGATGCAGAACTTTCAGTGAAAAGTCCTGCAAGTGCTTGCTCAGTTGTGTCCAGTTCTTTGAGACCCGTCTGCCAGGCTCCTCTGTCCAGGGGATTCTCCAGGCAAGAATACTGGAGTAGCTTGCCAGCCCTTCCTCCAGGGGATCTTCCCCACTCAGGGATCAAACCCAAGTCTCATTATGTCTCCTGCATTGCAGGCGGATTCTCTACCACTGAGCCACCTGCAAAGTCCTGGGTAGACTCTATAGGGAAGGCAGGTTGAGATCACCTTCAGAAGGTCCCAAGTGCTTCCCCAAGGCACACAAGAGCCCACCTGAATTTTTCAGGACACTAGGCTCTTCCCATCCAGGGAGGAGGTGAAAGAAAGCTAGGGTATCTGGAGATTTGGGAACCCACATCTAAATACTCTAGGCTTTTTTTACAAACCTTGAAATGTCCCTTGAAAGACAGAGGCTGAACCAGTTCACCTCAAGTTTCAAGTAAACAGATGAGTTATACTCCAAGAAGTAGGAGGAGGAGCAGTGACTAAATTAGTTCTTAATTGAGCTCTTACCATGCGTCAGGACTGTGATAAGGGGCTAATAGAGGCTGTCTCATTTAATCCCCATAACTTCCTGGTGAGGCAGATTTCATTACCCCCATTAGACAGATGGGAAGAAAGAGGCACAAAGAGAGCCGATCCTGCTCAAAGCCACACAACTGGTTAAGTGCTGAGTTGGGACTTGAAAAAAGCACACCTTAATTGAGGAATAAATAAAGATCCACAGGATGTTTGCTCTAATTGGTCAGTATGAAACACCTCAACATTTTAAAGAATACTCACCCGTCACATAGAACCAGAAAAAGAAAAGACTTAGGCCAAGTCACTGCAGTTTTAAAAAAAGGACAATCCAATAGCTAGAGACATCAAAGTGAGTCTTCGGAGTTCAAGCAGCTTTCTGAATGTCTAAGTTGAAGCAAGAAGCAAGAGCTTCAATAAACCTGTTTTCCCAGACAGAAAGGTGCTTTCTGGTCGGGGAGGATAAGCAGCGTTTGAAAAAGGAATGAAAGAATGGTTGCATTTCTGGAGCCTGGTGAATAACAAAGAAGGCCTCTGTCATTCTCTGGGTCCGGCAAGGTGACACTGCTAATCCTAAAATCTATTCCACAATCGCTCCGCCAGTGAGAGGCCGCTGTCCCCTCAGCCTTCACCAGAGTCACACAGGCTGAGTCAGAAGATGAGGGCACCCCTCACCTGACTTTTCCCTTCATCTGCTCTATGGCAGTATTTTTCAAACTTTCCTACCACAACCCACAGTGAGAAACACATTTGCTGGCCTAACCCAGCACAGACATATGTGTACATGTGTTTCAGGGAAAAAAAAAAAATCTGTCTTAAATGCAGTGTGCTCTTATTTTCCATTCTAGTCAAATTCATTTGTTTTAAGCTGGTTGTGTACAAGTGCTAAGTCACTTCAGTTGTGTCTGACTCTCTGCATCTCTGCATACCCTGACTGTAGCCCGCCAGGCTCCTCTCTCCATGGAATTCACCAGGCAAGAACACTGGAGTGGGTTGCCATGCCCTCCTCCAGGGGATCTTCCTGACCCAGAGATTGCAACTGGCTAAATTTATTTCACTGCCCACTAATGGTTTATGATCCACAGTTTGAAAAAGTAAAACTACTTCATACTGTGAGCAGGGCCGGGGCAACTGAGTAGGGGGTGTTAATGACAAGAGTTTATATTTCGGTCATTATCTCTACCATTGCGTCTATGAACAGTGTTTTGTGTTTACCCTGCTTTCATCTAAACAGAGTTTGTCAAACTGTGTTCCATGGATTATTTATTTTATATTATTTATATTTTATAATATAAATAATTTATATTTATTTATATTTATTATATTTATATTATTATTTATTCCAGGAGGTTTTAATAGTTGTTTTCCTCCAAAGTGGTGCTGTGGTCAGAAGAGTTTGGGACATGATACATACTGTTCAGTTCAGTTCAGTTCAGTTGCTCAGTCGTGTCCAACTCTTTGCGACCCCGTGAGTCGCAGCACTCCAGGCCTCCCCGTCCATCACCAGCTCCCGGAGTCTATCCAAACCCACATCCATCGAGTTGGTGATGCCATTCAGCCATCCCACCCTCTGTCATCCCCTTTTCCTCCTGCCCCCAATTCTTCCCAACATTAGGGTCTTTTCCAATGAGTCAACTGTTTGCACGAGGTGGCCAAAGTATTGGAGTTTCAGCTTCAACATCAGTCCTTCCAATGAACACCCAGGACTGATTTTCTTTAGGATGGACTGGTTGGATCTTCTTGCAGTCCAAAGGACTCTCAAGAGTCTTCTCCAACACCACAGTTCAAAAGCATGATACATACTGTAGCCACACCCAAATGTCACAATGCAGTTATCATCTTTAAGGCTCTAAGAAGGTCTGCAGTGGAGGACTTTACCTCTGTTTACCAGGCCTCCCCTAGACCTTTTTCTTTAAGCACAGAGTCCATATTCCTTCCTGGAGTGCTGCTATCCTCAGAAACCAGTCAGGGTCTGGGGGCATCACACTCGCCTTTGTGACCTCACTCTGTCCCTGAGAAGCCAATGTTATTGGGATGCTGTTGGAACCGGCAGTGCACCTACTTGTCTGCTTTCCCATATCAAGTTGGTGGGAGCTGGGCCAATGCCAGACCTCCTGACACGATCAGATGGGGAGCCCTCAGACAGCCCCACGGCTCCTAAAGTGCCGCTTTCCCAAAGTGTCACCGTGAGCTGCATCCAGGACCAGTGGAAGGGTGCCGAGTGTGCCAGGAATTCAAAGCTCAGTCCGAAGAACCTTGAGCTGCTCAAATTCCCTGACCAACAGGAGTTGAAAATCAGCATAGTGAAAGTATTAGTCGCTCCATCATGCCTGACTCTTTGCCACCCCAAGGATTGTAGCCTACCAGTCTCCTCTGTCCACGGAATTCTCCAGGCAAGAATACTGGAGTGGGTAGCCATTCCCTTCTCCAGGGAGCCTTCCTGATCCAGAGATCAAATCCAGGTCTCCTGCATTGGTAGACAGATTCTTCACCAATGAGCCACCAGGGAAGCCCAGGAGTCAGGGCAGTGGGTGGCTATTGTCTTCATAATTGGTATTTGAGTTTCTTAACCCCTATTCAGGGGTGGAGGGAAAGCAATGGCAAGGCCCCCATCCCTTTTTAGTCTCCAGGGTAAAATGAACATACTCTGTACCCCATCTGCACCTTGCTTTCTAACTTAATGATGGATCCTGTAAATTGCTCCCTTTTAGAACACAAAGAGTTTTCTGACTCTTTTGTACTCTCTATATATTATGGCCCTGCATAGATGCATCATAATGTATTTAACTAGCCTCCCACTGATGAACATGGATCACTTCCAGTGCTTTCTGTGAGAAACAGTGCTGCAGTGGATAATCACATACCTAAGCTGTGCACACCTGTGAGTGTGTGTGTAGGATGAGTCAGGAGTAGAACTGCCGGGTCAAGGCACATTCGCTTCCTCAGGTGGTATTGGGGGCTGCCTTGAGACTCTGCTCTGGCAGGGGGATCCCAGGGGAAGACTTGGGGTTCTCCTTCTCTTTTGTTGTTTCATCTTGGCTGATTTCAGGTACTGAGACTGGACTCAGGAAACATAGGGGATAATTCTGCCCTGTCTTAAACCAGGTGTATGATCTTAGATCAGTCACATGCCTAACCCAAATTTTTCCCCTCTGTTGTAAAATCAAGGTGTTAGAACACATGATATGAAGATCTACCACCTCCTCATTCTTTGTGACTCTGGTAGGTGTTCTTGCTGAATTTCTCAGGGATGTGTCAGGGCAGCAATGAACTGTTCTTACCCCCTTGTCTTACCTGCGTTCTAAACACATTTCTCATTTATGAAATGACTGGTTAGGATCAGGTCTTTTGGTCTCATTCTTTAGGAAAGGCTGTGTGGCTTGTCTCTGTTATCTCTTTCCACAAAAATAGGATCTTCATGTGCCTGGGGATGTTGTAGATTTCACTGCTGAATCCCAATGTCTAGAGCAACACTGTTCAATAAACATATAATGTGAAAAGACAACATTGACATACCATGAAAGAAAGAAAGTGAAAGTGAAGTCATTTCAGTTGTGTCCA